CCAGATGCAGGGTCCTTCCCCCTGCCACACCGCCGGGGCCAGCGGGCTACCGAAATCACCACGCGAGGTCTCATGTGCTAAATGGTAACCGTGTCACGTCTGACTCCACCCTTTCCCTCACTCTCCACATCCAGCAGCCACTGAGTCTGGTCAAATATGCAACCCAGTTTTTTTTGTTTTTTGTTTTCTTTTTTGGCCATGCTGTGCGGCTTAGGGGATTTTAGTTTCCTGACCAGGGATCGAACCTGGGCCCTCAGCAGTGAGAGTGTGGAGTCCTAACCACTGGACTGCCAGGGAATTCCCTGCGGCCCAGCTTGGGAATGGCTCTGGAAACCTTCCCTCTAACCTGCCTCTGGCCCCCAAACTAGCTCAGGGCCTTGTTAACACTCATGGTCCAAGGCCATGGCCTCCCAGCTAGTCCCCTGATTCTGGTCTTAGCTTCCACCCTCCAGCCTTCCTCTCACTGAGGATCAACGGCCCCGAAGCAGCTCAGGTGGCATCACTCCTGGGCTCAGAAACCTTCTTGGGCCCCCACTCCAGAATAAAGCTCAAATTCCTCAGCCGAGCATTTGAGTCTAATTCCCATCTTCCTCTCTATTCTTGCGTTGCATGAGTCTCCCCTTAAGCACACGCTGTGCTCTCCATCTTCAGCAGTCCCACACCTCCATGCCGTTGCCCATGCTGGTTCTCCTGCTAGAAATACAACCTTCCCCCCAGCCTCTTCCCCAAATCCCTCCAAAATGTTAAGATCTACCTCAAATGCCATCTCCCTCTTGGCCCTCCCTGACCCTCAGGACAAGAACAATCTCTCCTTTGCCTGGTTCATCAACGTTTTGTGCTCCTGTGGCCAGTATCCAGTAGTGGATGCTAGGTTCTCCCTCTCAGGCTGAGACTCCCTAAGTCACTGTTTAAACACACCAGTCTTCTGAAATGGATTAGTGCAGGTGTTAAGTTCTGCAGAAATTGGGCAGAAGTGCGTGTGTGTTTGGCGGGGGTGGTGCACAGAGAGGCCCACAGAAAGCTTCAAAAGGGCACTAGAGGACACATATAAAGAGCACATGATCTGGAATCAGACTGGCTGGGTTCAAATCCAGCTTTACTTCTTACTAGCTAAGTGGCTTTGGGCAAATTACTTCTCTGGGCCTTGGCTGGCTCATTTGAAAAAGGGAGGTAATTAGAACTCCTACTTCCACGCGGCGCTGGGAGGACTAAATGAGTGACCATACGTAAAAGCACTGAGGACAGTGCCTGGTGCACAGTGTTAAATAAGTGTTTACTGTGGTTATTAACCAAGCTGACAGTGGCTGGCACAGGCATAGTCCCCAGACTGTAGCTACTTTCCAGGTATGTTTTCCATGCGCTACCTACCTACAGCCCTGTTGGAAGACGGACAGGGCAGGTGATTAGCCCCATTTTAAAGATGAGGAACTGAGGCTCACTTAGGGAAGGTGCCAGCGAGGAAGTGGTAGGGCCCGAACTCCTCAGTTCTAGTCTAGGCCTCCTTGCCCTCCACTAGGCCGTGGTACACCTGTTGTGCAGGCCTGACATAGCCAGCATGCCCCCATGCAGGGTGGGGGGCCTGGCCGTAGTGTCCTCCCTGCCCCCATGCACACGCACCCTCCCCGCCAGGCCAGGCGCAGACCACAGCGATATGTACACTTGGAACACACACACACACACACACACACACACACACACACACACACACACACACACACACATCTCCAGAAGCCCCTGC